TCCAGCACCAGCAGCACGCCTCCAGCGCCTGGCAAACCACTCACGTAGCTCCTGAGGGGAGAGTGGCTCTCGCCGAGACGAAGCACCTCCAGGCGGAGCACCCCCAGTCTCAGCACCTCCAGGCTCAGCACCCCCAGGCTCAGTAACCCCAGGCTCAGTACCCCCAGGCACAGCACCCCGAGGCTCAGCACCTCCAGGCTCAGCACCCCCAGGCTCAGCACCCCCAGGCTCAGCACCTCGAGGCTCAGCACCCCCAGGCTCAGCACCCCCAGGCTCAGCACCTCCAGACTCCGCACCCCCAGGCTTAGTACCCGCAGGCGTAGCACCTCCAGTCTCAGCACCCCTAGGCTCAGCTCCCGCAGCAGCACCAGAGTCACCAGTGACCTCGACAGGCTCGACCGCGTCTACCTGGGACACACCTGAAGGGGCAGGACCCTGAGGGGGGAGGGGGTCTACCGGGGGGGGACCTGGTACCAAGAAGAGCGGGGGCGGGGGGAGGGACGGAGTGCGGTAGGGGAAGAGGCGGTAGTAGGGCACCGACTCGTCGAACGTGACGTCCTGGGAGGACAGAACACGTCGAGAGGTGGGGTGGTAGAACTGCCACCCAGGAGCGTCGGGGGGGAACCCCAGGAAGACGCAGGGAGCAGCGCGAGGGGACATCTTGTCCGCAGACAAGTCGCGGACAAACGCCCGAGATCCCCTGACCCGGAACGCCGACGCATCGCCAACCTTCCCCGTCCACAGAAGGGCTGGGGAGGTCTCCGGCCTGGAGACCCTGGGGTGGAGGTTGATCTGATGCGCCGCGTACCTGACCGCAAACGGCTACAGAAAATGGGGGGCAGCCGCATGCATCATAGACGTACGAGCGACGTCCATGACCATGCCCATGCGGCGCTCAGCAATCCCATTTTGCTGCGGTGAGTCCGGAAGCGTGAAGGTCTGGCGGATGCCTCGCGCACGACAGAAGGCACGCAGAAGGCCAGAGGAGAACTCTCCGCCTCTGTCCGAGTGCAGACGCAACACAGGAAAGTCCGAGCCAAAGCTCTGCCTGAGCTGGAGACGAGCTGCGCGGATCCAGTCGATCAGCACCTCAGTGACATCACCCTTGCTGCGCAAGGGGAAGACTGTGGTGTAACGCGAGTAGTCGTCAACCACCAACAGGAAGTAGCACTCGTGACCGAATCCACGGACGCAAGCAGGGCCCCACACGTCCATGTGAAGCGTCTGCAACGGAGCCTCTGTCGGAGGAAACTGGGAGGAGTGAGGGGCAGCACGATGGCGCCCCTCGACGCAGGGGACACAGGCAGGGCCAGGGCCCTGAGGAAGGGGAGGGAGGGACCGGGGGAGACCAGACACAAGAAGACACAAGGAGACCGCCTTGGCCACCCCTCTCTGCCATGCCTCTGAGCCGAAGCAGAGAGGGGTGGCCAAGGCGGTGGTGCCAGAGGAGAGTCTCGTGAGACAGACGGCGACACGAACAGGGGGCAGACTCAGGACCAGACCTGGACGCTGCAGCAAACGCCTGACCAGACGAAGGGACTCTACCAGACTCAGCACGGGGAGGAGAAGCAGTGGTCAGTGTGTACAGGCTCGACCCTGTCAGTGTGCTAGCCTCTGTGCAGTGTGTCACCCGCTGACGAGCAGGAGTGAACTGGTTGACACCCCCATCCTGTAGGTCAGCACCACTCACCAGGTTCGTAGAGAACGATGGGAGGTAGAGACCAGTCAGGGTGCCAGAGGGAGCCGCCGAACACGGGAGGACTGTGGAGAAACGAGACAGGACAGGACCCCCAGAGGGGTCAGCCAGGGACACCGCAACCGGCCGACTAAGCGGCGTGAGAGTGGTGCGGTCCTGAAAGAAGGAGCGAGAGGCCCAAGAGTCAAGGGTGAAGGTGAGGGAGGCCGAAGCCGACGTAGTACCTGAGAGCGCAGACTCACCAGTACCTGAGGACGCAGACACACTAGCACCAAGAGCAGCAGCGTCGCAAGCACCTAGGGCAGCAGCCGCACCAGTACCTAGAGCAGCAGACTCAATGCCCGGATCGGGCGGGAAACACCGGTAACAGTCACCCTCATCACTAGCAGACACAGCATACATGGCAGCAAGAATAGCATCAAAGTCAAGATCAAAGATAGCTACACCAGCCCTAGACAGCTCTCCCCAGCGGGGGATCTCAGAGGCCTCCGGAAACTGCTGGCGCCAAGCGTCGGTTAAGTGGGCAAAGCAGCGGCGGGCGGTGTGGGTGCCCCCACACTGCTCACCCGCACGGTCGCCGGTGCGAAGGACGTAGGTGCAGGGACCGAACGCCCCACCACGCTGACGCTGGGAGTACCACTCACGGAGCTGCTGAGGGGTGGGGACGTCGCGAGAGCGCTGCTGCTGCTGCTGCTGCTGCTGCTGCTGCTGCTGCTGGCGCTGACTACCTCCAGTGGTGCTCCGCTGGGACGAGCCACTCCGACCACCTCCACCACCGCCACCCCCGCCTCCGCCGCCACCGCCGCCACCGCCACCCTCGCCCCCGCCGCTCCCACCGCCACCACCACCACCACCTCCGCCTCCACCGCCGCCACTAGTACCTCCACTCCCGCCACCACCTCCACTGCCACCCCCACTCCCCCCGCCGCCTCCACCGCCTTTGCCACCGCCCCCGTTAGCTCCACCCGCTCCCTTGCCCCCTTTGCCCCTGCCAGGGCGGCGCCTACCGCTGGGGGCAGACGCCGCACCGACCGACTCCAAACCAACGAGGTCGGCCGCAGCAGCAGAGGCGATAGAGGGAAGTAGGGGGGAAGGAGAACACCCCTCAAAGATGGGGGTGCGAGGGTCACCACGAGAGGCCCCTACAGCGACGGTACTCTTCTCAGCCGCTAGCAGGGACTTCTCAAGGAGGTCGACAGTGAGGGTGGTGGGACAGACAGAGAGAAACTGGTCCCTAACGGCACGAAGGGACTCAGGGAGACGGGTGACTAGAAAGTAGAGAGTGATGTACATGGGAGGAGGGTTTGCGGCGCGGAACTCAGCAGGAAGCGCAGCGCGGTAGCGAGTGTCACTAGCGCGGAGGTGGGTAAAGAGGTTAGCGACTGTGGGAAAGGCAGCGAGGTCAGGGAAGAGGAACGGTAGCATGAGGCGGCTCAGCGTAGCGGAGGAAGGGGAGGAGTAGCGCGCAACTACAGCGTCGTACAAGGCCTGAGCGGTCTTGCACTGACTCAAGTGTGCACGCTCGGAGGAAGGGAGGTGGCGACTTACAGCAAGACGTGCAGCAGCATCGCGCGTGGCCCACTTGGAGCGAACAGAGGGGTCAGCATCAGCAGGAGGGGCAGGGACAGCGCCAGAGACTAAGTCAAAGAGAGAAACCTCATCGATCGCATCGCACAGTAAGTACAGCTGCAGGTCCTCGACCCAGACTGCAAAGTCAACGGCGCGACCCTCAGCGTCAAAAGACAGGACACTGGGGGTGGCCATTATAGCAGCTGACAGTCTCACCGGGCGGGAAGAGTCGGGTAGCTCAGGAGTACAGCCACAAAGCAGCACAGCAGCTACGGCGGCCCAGGAGCAGCAGCAGCCCCCACAGGAACAGGAGGCCGACGCCTTAGGCTGCTCGGGCGGCTCGGGCGACTCGGGCGGCTCGGGCGGCTCGGGCGGCTCGAGCGGCTCGGGCGGCTCGGGCGGCTCGGGCGGCTCGCGCGGCGCGGGCGTCTTGCGGGCGACAGCACGGGCGGCTGGGGCGGCTCGCGGGTGGCTCACGGGCGGCTGGAGCGGCTCGCGGGCGGCGCACGGGCGGCTTACGGGCGGCTGGGGCGGCTGCACGGGCGGCTCGAGGGCGGCGTTGGCTGCTTACGGGCGGCGTCGGTGGCGACGGCGGCGTCAGCGGCTCACGGGCGGCGTCGGCGGCTCACGGGTGACGTCGGTGGCGTCGGCGGTGCACGGGCGGCGTCGGCGGCGTCGGCGGCGTCGGCGGCGTCGGCGTCGTGGGCGGCTCACGGGCGGGCGGCTCACGGGCGGGCGGCTCACGGGCGAGCGGCTCACGGGCGGCGGCTCACGGGCGGCGGCTCACGGGCGGCGGCGTCACGGGCGGCGGCGCACCAGCGGCGGTTGACGGGCGGCTGCGCTGACGGGCGGCGCTCACGGGCGGTGCTTACGGGCGGCGCTCACGGGCGGCGGCGCACGGGCGGCAGCGCACGGACAGGCCGCGGGCGGCGAACGGGCGCTAGGGCGGGCGCCGGGCGCTAGGGCGCTAGGGCAGGCGCTAGGGCGGGCGCTCAGGCGGCCGCTAGGGCGGGCGCTAGGGCGCTAGGGCGGGCGCTACGGTAGGCGCTAGGGCGCAAGGCGCTAAGGCAGAAAAAAAAAATTCTAAGTGGTGGGCCCTAAGCACAGTTCCCACAGGGGAACGAGCTCTGATTCCATGAGAAGAAGCGAACGAGAATGAATGAACTATGAATGAAGTGAGTACAAATATGAAACCCTAATTGGGTTGTACCCCCTATGGGATACCCCACTATAGCCTACACAAATAAGTAAGCTATAATGTTCTGACAGTTTCGAGACCCTTCGTGGTTGGGGACAGTGTGGCACTGCTCCACATCACTGTACCTCGGCTCTTGGGGTTTGTAGGAGCTGGGAGTCATTCCCAACTTGTAACTCTTCCTAACTCTTCCTATCTTGTGTTCTAAGACTATGTTGCTGCCATAGTGCCGTTCGTTCAAACCAACGCTGTGTTGTCAGTTCTTAATGAAAGCGTGCGATTTAAATTACCTATTGTAGGGGACGTTAAGGCGCTCCAGATCCAAGTTGAATGGAGTCATTTGGAGTTGTGAGTAGATCGCTATGAACGATTGAAGCCGCTCTGCAGAAATCCGACTATGCACTCTATCTTTCGTTTTAGGCACATTGGAGCCTACTATGACTATAACACCTGTCATCCGAAAGAAAAGGGAACGAGAGTGAGGGGTAGAGATGGGAATGAAAGGGAGATGGGCTATTTTACTCATGCAATCTGGATGGACTAGAGAGCACAGGCAAGAGCAGAGGGGAAGACCAGCAGAGCAGTGAGGAGACGCAAGACGGTGGCAACGGCGCCTGTGGTTTGAGAAGGAGAGGGAAGAGAAATGGGAACAAGGAGAGGAACGAATAGTGGAAAGGTGGTGAGTTAATGTGTGGTTATGCAGTGCAGTGACGAGACGTGAGACAATGACAATGGCCCCTGGCATGGAAGAGAAATGGGAGCAAGGATAGGTATGAGAAGTGGAAACGTGGTCATTGAATGTGTGGCTATGCATGCAACTCTGTGAAGAGATACGAGACAGTGACAATGGCCCCTGGCATCCGAAAAGAAAAAGGGGAGGTGAGGAATGGGGGCGAAGGGGTGAAGAGATGGGAGTGAGGGGGTGGAGAAATGGAAGCGGGGTGGAGGAGAAATGGGAGCCAGGGGGAGGAGAAATGGAAGTGAGGGGGAGGACAAATGAGAGTGAGGGGGAGGAGAAACGGGAGAGAGAGGGGGGAGAGATGGGAGTGAGGGGGTGGATAAATAGGAGTGAGCGGGTGGATAAATGGGAGTGAGGGGGTGGAGATATGGGAATAAAAGGGTGAAGAATGGGAATAAGGGGGCCAGGAATGAGAAGGGAAGGGATGGCAGGGCGGAAATGGAGGGTTGGGAGTGAGGGGGATGCGAAATGGGAATGGGGGAGAGGAGAAATGGGAGTGAGGGTGAGGAGAAATGGGAGAAAGGAGAGGAACAATCGATGAGAATTTGAGGCCATGTAGAAGGTCTGGCTGCATGTATCTTCCACCATGAGGCATGGTGCAAGATGCAGGGAATGGCAAGTCCATTGATGGATTATACAGGAAATAAAGAATAACCAATCATTTTTAAACAGAAGTAGACCCATAATGCGTCGCCGAATATACTGATTTCGAAGCTTTGCTCGCAAATCTCAAAAGGCATACCAAGCAGTGAGGAAATGTTGATGGGGAACACAACCGCATTGACGTAGAAATAATCCTTCTTTGGCTCGTCGATCATTGCCACAGCAGACGGAGTACCAGCAGCCACGCCGGATGCAAGGGGGTCCGAGGCGGAAATGAACCCAGCGTCGGTGCTGTTGCACTTGAAGTTCAGATTGTTGCCATTGAACGCGGTCTTGACAGGAGTGCCAGAGGCGGTACACTGTACGTTGAGGGTCGGGGGTGTGAGCAACAGAAGAAAACAAGTGTGTTGGGCACAAAGAGTCGGTACCATGCTACTAAACAAGTAGCAGCAGCAATAGAGGCAGCGTCACTTTAATACGAGCTCTCACTTGAAGCTGCGGCATCATCACAAGGTTTTAAGAAGCACATGAATGACAACGAGAGCATAAGGGAATCAAGCGGGAGACACAAAACACACCATCATATACACGCACAAACATAACATGTGCACACACTGATCTGAATTTTATTTTCAACAACGAACCGATGGTGGTTTGCATCGCAAGCATACCGTACCTGGTTATCCAGATTCAAGATCGTAACCTGAAAAGCCGCCGTGTGGAACGACATCAGGTTGTAGAGCGCGGTCCGCGCGGCCTCCCTGATCGGATGCGACGTGAGCGTTTTGCACGATTTCGCCTTGTCTGCCAGAACCGACAGCTCAGTGCTGTTTATCTTACGCCCCGCCCAAACGAACGCCTTCTTGATCCGATCGCTCGCGACCGCGTCGAGCGCTTCGTAAAGCACGCCGCTGCTGCGGCTCTTCTTGTACCCCTCGAATGCGTCGCTCCACGCTTGATTCGTCGGAAGGAAAATCGTCGGCCCGGCCGGGAACTTGCACACCGAGTTTGCGAGGTAGTTAAGAATGTAGTACAGCTTGGACACGTCCGCGAACTTGATTGTGTACGGGACCTTCAACCGCAAGGACCGCGGCAAGGACGGCGGCGCGCCCGGCGCAGCCTGAGGCGACGCGGCTGCGATCACTTGCTCCAGGGTGTAGTCCTGCATGTAGTCATTGTCGTAGTACTGATCGAGCGGCGCCAGCGGCGGCGGTGGCGCGCCAACCGCGGGTGCCCCGGTCCCTGCTCCGGGCGCCGGTGCTGCAACGAGTGCGGCGGCTTTCATGACCCGACGGCTTGCAGCCGCCATCTGAGTCGAATCCGCAAGCGCCGGCAGGGCGGCGTTTGCGAGGAGCAAAAGCGCCGCGGCGGAAGCCACGAGGGACACGAAGCGGCGAGTTGGCGTCACGACGGGCCGAGCGGCGGCGGCGATCCCGATGGTGCGAGCCATCTCGAGACGAGACGAATGCCGCACCGCCACTACTAGTTCCCGTGGGAACGACAGGCCAGGTGGCTCTCACGTCACGCGAGATTCAGGGAACACACCCCCACGGCGGTGTGGCAAATGTTCTGCGGCAGATGCTTGGAGCTCGGAAAGTGGAATGGTATGAGGGGACCGGGATTGATATGAGGGGCATGGTTGGTGCGTCGAACGGGGGTTTTAAATAGTGATGAAGCTAATATGGCTGCGGCTGGTGAACTTGCCTTCCGCCCCCTACGCGCGCCTCTGCCTTCCGCGCGCCCACTCGCCTTCCGCACGCCTTCATGGCTTTCATGGCGCCAACGTGGCCTTCCGCGCGCCTACGTGGCTTTGCGCGCGCTTACGTGGCCTTGCGCGTGCCTACGTGGCGTTCTCGGCGACTCATATATCATGCCTTCCCTCTCATGCGCCGCCTCAATGCTGATCGTCTCGTCGTCATGAGACAACTGCGGGCGCACTGCGCAGCCCCACGTTCCGCTGGTCGGATTTGTTAGTCGAAACAAGAGAAATCATCCTGACCAGACCTTAGAAACAACTGCGTTCGCAATGCGCATCAATTTGGTCTCGAAACTTGGGCTTCGACAGTGATTTTAGGGTGGTCCGGAAACCTGGTTCGGAGGGGGGGGGGAGTCCGCAAAATACGGTGATGGAATGGGCTATGTGTTCAGTAAATACATGTACAGCAGCTGGTCAATGCCGGGGGCGACTCGCTGGCGCTGCTCCGCAGCGATGAGTGTAGAGATCAGGTGGGATTGCTTCCGTCGATTTGAACCCACGCACAGCTTCGGCGGCGACGCATTTTTCAGTAGGACAATGGAAGCGAACCCAGCTAGGATGATGCTGCTTGTCGGCTTGTTCTGAAGCACTTTTCCGGTTTTGAAGTATTTATCATGTAAATACCTTGGAGTTTAGGAGCCCTACTACCTTTCTAAGTGTGAGAGACCTCATATGCTCGAGTACAACTTCAGATTTACTTCAATGGCTCAACATAGATATCAAGCATATGCCACTCATTTAGAACCAAAATGTATCTACCTTTTAATAATACAGCATGTAATCCACATTTCAATAATACAACATGTAATACAAGGCTCAAGGAGAGGTATCAAAAGGAAGAAAAGGGGGAAGAGAAAGAGATGAATAAGGAGGGTAGGGAGAAGGAAAGTGAAAAGGGGAGAAAGGAAAAAAGAGGCAGAGGAAGTTGAAAGAAAGGGAAAAGGAAAGGGAAAAGGAAAGGGAAAATGCACCCCCAAAAGACTCAAAAAACACCACACTCCTCCATTCAGGCAATAATAGCTCTCCGCCATGGCTCCTTAGGAGAACTTTGATTCAGCAAATGTCCAGCTTACCTCAACCAGTTCAGCAATCTGAATCTATTTTCTGGATCTACTCTTCAAGGGCTTGTTAATGACACCAACATTGTGTTCAAACAGTGAACATCGGTTAGTCTTAACGTCGCTTAAGAAGATCTGTACTTTCAGGTTATAAAGCTGATCTTAAGCTCAAGACATTCTGTTACTCCAACGAAGCTTCAATGGTCGAGTTCATTTCAAATCGTCACCTAAAATGGGACCTGAGAATCAAGGCATTTTCACCAGAAGTAAAAATCTGCAAGTACAAGGAAGGTGGACCACGTAATATTTTCAGATTATCAGTTTTTGCTGCCATATATCAACAACCAGTGAAGAGGAAGAAAACTCAGAATAAAGCGCCAGACATTAATCACGTGGTTTCACTACCTAAAGGCATGGCTGGATCTACTATTTCAAGTCATCACCCAGGATGGCATGGAGAAGAAGTTTCATGCTCTAGAGAATGTGAGAAGTATTTCTTCAAGGAACCAGAGCAACGACGTTCGACTCTCAAAGCGTCTGAAATAACTACGTTAACGACTGCTGAAGTGTTTGGAGGCGAAGAGGTTTTTCCGCTGGAAACGTTCAACCTGGAAGATTTTTCCTTGGCTCACCTATTCAACGACGAGTACTTATTTTCTAAGGCTGTGGACGACGAAACGACATATAAATTTCGACATGAGAAAGGCTGGAAGTTACAGGAAGTGCATCTGCAACTGGTGGATGATGCTGACGGGAGTTTTAAAACTGCTGGACGACATGGATTGATGCAAGATTTTTCTGAAGTTGCTGTGCTCTCTAGAGCCAGAACAGTAGAAGCTGGTCCTCATAGGCATCGGAAAACGCCCAAAAAATTTCGTGCAATTCTCTTGTGGCAAGCTCGCCGGGAAAGACCTGCTATTGTTACCACTTTCTACCGCTTCAACGTCAAAACACGGGTTGCTGAAACCACCTCACTCAACCACTCAGTGGTGGCGATGTCAGAATATTATTCTTATGTTCTAGCCTGTAGTGGGGTGCTCTATAGCGAGTACAACCCTTCTAGGGTTTGCTATTTGTATCCCCATTTCTGCTAGTTCATCCCTCTTTCTTCTTCTAATTTTTGTCATGCTATCAGAACAGGTCGATCCCCTTGGATCGATCCTGTGGGTGGGTTTCCACCTCGCTTCCGCTGCTACCTTTCCTTCCCGCCGTGCGCCCCGAGGCGCGCGGCGGTTTTCCTTCCCGCCGTGCGCCCCGAGGCGCGCGGCGGTTTTCTGCCCGCCGTGCGCCCCGGGGCGCGCGGCGGTTCTTTGCCCGCTGTGCGCCCCGAGGCGCGCAGCGGGCGTCTGCCCTACCTTCGCGGGCGTCCGCCCTACGTCGCGGCCCCGCCCTACGTCGCGGCCCCGCCCTGCGTCGCAGCCCCGCCCCTTGAAGCGGCCCTGCCCTACGTCGCGGCCCCGCCCCGGCCGTCGCGGCCCCGCCCTACGTCGCGGCCCCGCCCTGTGTCGCGGCCCCGCCCCTCGAAGCGGCCCTGCCCGACCGTCGCGGCCCCGCCCCTCGTCGCGGCCCCGCCCCTCGTTGCGGCCCCGCCCCTTGTCACGGCCCCGCCCTCCAACCAGGCCCGTGGTGGGCCCCCTTTCACCACACCGCCTCCCCCCCCCCCTCCCTCTGCCATTTCCCGTCGTCCGTCGAGGCGACCTGAGGGGGCCGCTTGCGGCTGTGGGGTGGCGGGTATGGGGGTGCTCGGTGTGCCTTCCTCCCTTTGCTCCTCCTCCTCCTTCGTCTCCCACTGCTGCAGCTGTCGCTGAGGGGGGTGGTTGTGTGGGAGACTCGGGTTTAGGATTTAAGGGGGGTGCGTGGGAGTGCAGCTAGCGGTGTAGCAGTGGGTGTGCATCAGGGGGGTGGGACTGTGTGCGGGAGGTTGAGTGGAGGTTGTCAGTTTGTCGTTCGCAGCACCTGTAGTCCGGGGCGCTGTCCCAGTAGCCCACTCGTAGCCAGCTGTGCCAGCCGCCCGTGGGTCCGTTGCCCGTCCGCCGCTATTTGAGCCGCGGGGCCTGTTACTCCTGTAGTCCGAGCGCTGTCCGGTAGCCGCTGTGCCAGTCTGCCTCCTGTTGCCCGTGTGCCTGCAGCTTCAGCCGTCGCCTCCTATCTCCTCTCCCCTCACTCTCTCTCCTCCTCCTCACTTGCCCGTTGTGACTACCACTAGCTCTGCTCATAATTGTGAACTCTAAACTATCTCTTCTTGAACTTGTGCTCAGAATGTGTGGTGACATTGTGATCCACCCTGAGCTTGTACTACTTTGCCTGCTCTGCTGATTACACCCCACTTTGGCTATGGGGGTGTGTCAGAATATTATTCTTATGTTCTAGCCTGTAGTAGGGTGCTCTATAGCGAGTACAACCCTTCTAGGGTTTGCTATTTGTATCCCCATTTCTGCTAGTTCATCCCTCTTTCTTCTTCTAACTTTTGTCAGGCGACTCAATCAAGGCTGAAGAAAACCACGCGGCAAAGAAGTGTCCACAGGTTACCAGATCTGAAATGTGGCAACTCTGCAAAGAAAGCCCCAAACGGGCAAGACAAAGTTTTTAGGCATTTGAATTTTAAGACTCCATAGGAATCTGGGAGGGTACGGTAGACACTAAAGCTACCTATGCCCTCTAGCTCCGGTTACGACCGACGGTGTTTTGCGTTGTACGTTGTATAATGCTATTTCACCTACCAAAAAAAAAAAAAACAAAAAAAAAAAACAAAAAACACCACACAAGGAACCCCATAAAGACAACTCTAAAGACCCTATCTAAAAAATCCCCACCCCTCAAACTCTCCTCTACGTCAACGTGAGTTTGGTTTTGCCCCGTCTTCGCTTGGGCGGAGCTGACTTCGTGGTCGGGTGTGAGGGGAGCAGCCGACCTGCAACAGTGGGCGAGCTAGTTGACGAGGAGGTCGATCTGCATGGGGGCCACTGCACGGGCGCCTACTTCAGGTTGGCGCTGACTTCATGGAGGTCGACCTGTGTGTCAGAACATACAGCTTGTGCTTATTGTGTAGGCTATAATGGGGTAGCCCATAAGGGGTACAACCCAATTAGGGTTAGTACTTCTACTCAGTTCATTCATAGTTCATTCCATTCTCGTTTCTTCTCATGGTATCGAGCAGGTTCCCTCGTAGGAACTGTTCTTAGGGCCCACCAAGTCGAATTTTTTTTTTTCCTACCCGGAGCGCGCTCTGCCTAGGCCCGAGTCGCCCCCTGTGTTCCCTCTCACCGTCGCGCCTTCCTAGGCCTCCTTCGGCCCCGTCGCGTCGCCCCTAGCGGCCTCCCTCGAGCCGCCCTTACTCGGCCCGTCGCCGCCCTACGCGGCCAGTCGCCGCCCTTTGCGGCCCGGAGCCGCCCTACCCGGCCCGTCGCCGCCCTTACGCGGCCCGTCGCCACCCTACGCGTGTTAGAAATTAAGGACGGAGTCCATGAAGATTAGGTGCCCAAATTTCTCAAAATCGTTGGTCTCAATTTCTGGACAGAAACGTTGACTTCACAAGAAACGTTGTCAACGAAAGGTGCCTTGTTAGAATCCCACGAAATTAAAATATGTTGTAGCCCTAGACCTTGGCTACATTTCCCAATTTGAATCGTGTCAAAA